GGTTTTGGTAAGAGCCAAGCTCAGGCAGAGCCTGGCATCCTGGCAGCAACTAGAGCTATGCGCCCAGCCTGCGCTGAGCTGCCCATCAGCCCTGGGCTCTTGGAATCAGCAGGAGCTAGTGGCACAGGGATACTCCAGTCCAAGTATCCATCTTTCCTGCTTCCCTGCCTGGGGCTTGGGCAGGAGCAGGTGGGTATCAGGTTGGTCCCTAAGCAGAGGGGAAGATGGCAGGATCTGGAAGCTACTCAAGCTCCTTTTCATCTTTCTTTTCTGTCAGCATCATGAGTACAGCCACAAAACGAAGCTTGCCTTGTACAGCTATGAAGTCTTGAGCCAGTCCTTGCTGGAAATAGGAGCTGAAATGGGAGCTTAGGAAAGTATTCACCTCTACCCTATAACACAGTTTGTGGTACTTTTCAACCAAAATTAAACAGAAATAATTTAAAAAAAAACTTATAAAATGAATGATAACTCCCCTTTTCTTGTCTGTCTTTCCCAGAAATAAACCATTTTTTTGTCTTTTTTGAGGTCATACCCTGGTTAACGCTGGACAAAACCCAATCAGATGGTAAGTCTGAAGGCAGTGATGGAGTGGAAAATATATCAAGAGCTCTGAAGCCATTACAACATTTTAATTACACGCTAAACTGTTTTTTCCATAAAGCAGTAGCCTTCCAGATGAAGAGACTGGGGCCCAGGGCTGATAGTAGCTGCCGATGCCCAGGCTGCAGGTTGTGTGGTCAATCCCTTCCAGTCAGCTTCAGCTAATAGTACTTCTAAACCACTGCCTTATATCTCACAATATTTTATAGCTATGATAATTATTTCATTTGACCTTTTGTTGACCACTGTCATTTACCCCACATTTTGGCACAGGGAAGGCCTATTACTGGCATTGTGCTCCCACTAGCAAGGAAATGCCTTGCCCTCTGAAGACTGACAAATAGTTGGCTTGAGTTGTGCCCTTCATCACAATCTTCCATCAGCATCGTCCTTTAATAAAATCTTTTCATTGCTAAGGGTAGTCTGACATGAAAGACTGAAGGGTGGAGTGAGGGCCTAAGGGCAGTGAGGAAGCTGTGTGTTTAAGCTCTAAGGCTTCTGTCTGGATAAGGTGCACTGGCTGGACTGGGTGCTTCTGCAACCTTATTGCGTGCACGTTGTCTGTGTAAGGAGACACAGTGGGCTTCATTTTTAAAGAAAAGCTCTGACTAAACACAGGATGAGGTTCATGTGCTGTTCCCTGATGGCTATTGTAGGAGAAATCTACTTTTTTCCTAGTTGCTTCTGGGGTGTTGGGTATTTTACGGGAAGAAGGCTGAATTTAAGGATTACTGGGGCTAATAACAAAAGGAAGAGAAGTGGCATGGCACGGCACCATGTACATGGGTCCCCATTCCTCCCTTGTGGGTCATTGGCATGGCTGGGAGAGATAAGCCTAGTTGTCTCTGCTGCTGGAGCTGCTAGCAGGAGTCTGTGAAAGGAACAGATCAGGCAGGAGGAGTAAAATGTGATTTAGTGGCTTTCGGGGGTGTCTGTTGAGAGCAGAGGACAGAGAGGCTTCAGGCTGCATTCCTGTTTCCAAGGGCTGTTTTCTCTGATGGTCATGTGCTGTTCTTTCTCCAGTCTCCTGCCACAAATCTGTCTTTCCCCTCTCTGTCTTCAGTTCCCAGATCACTGCTCTGTCCTCTGCCATCTCGCACGTGGTCCTTTCCATACCCTGATGCCTGTGTGTCCCAGGCAGTGTCTTCTGGTAGCTCAGTGGTGTACCTATTTGGTTGCAGAGGGGGTCACACATCTATCTCAGGCCTGTAATAGAAAATGCCCAGGTGCTTCAAGATGTTCATACGTTACTTGGTTAACTGACATGGAGGAGGGGCAAGGGGATGGACCATGCAGGCAGATACCTTCATGTTAACCACAAAAAATGAGTCACGCAAAGGATTTAACGTAAGCGATTCCAAGTAGGTTTTCATATAAAGAGGAAAAGGCATGTGCCAGGTGAAGTTCTTCCCCTTATTGTCAAGCACCATGTCCATGTTCAAGAGTGAGAAGAGACTTGAAGCATCTAAAAAAATATTTGCAATTCATTCCTTTGCTTTAGATAAAACCAAACTTGTTTTTCCTTGGCTTGCCTTTCAAATATTATCAAACTGGCTTTGCTGAAATTGTTTCAATGATCCCTCTTTCCTCAAACAAAACACTCATTCCGAGAAGCATCTCCTGTAGTAAATGTTGGCTTCCTAACAGGGACATTAATGTTAACTTCCCAATATTGCTACCGGCTCATGTGCAGAATGCATTTCTGATTCCCATCATGCAACCTCTCCAGGTTTTATTCTCATAATAAACCCTTTTGTAGTGCTTGTAATTGTAGTTTTCTAGAACTCAGACAGAGCTGCATGTGGAGCTGCAACTATGTTGTCCTTGGAAGACAAGGATCAGGATGAAGGAGATAGCTGCTGAATTTGAACAAAGAGCAATTTGGTGGTCACCTATAGAAGGTTACAAGTTTGAGAAAATGTTGTAATCAAGTAGTTTCAATTTGAAAAGGAGTAAATCTGTCCGTAGGATAGCTCCATAGGTCTCTGCTGGTTGCTTCATTTGCCTGGTTGAAAATATTTCCACAATTTAACTTCTAGGAATGTCTGATCCATTTATCTGGTGTGATAGTAATGGGGAATGGAGAGAGCAACCTTCGGTCATTTATCCATGTTTATTAGGACACTATGCTAGCACAAATTTTCTGAATCAAGCATGAGAAGGCTCAGAGCATCCCTGTGCAGTATTTCCAGATATACCTATTGCTATCTGAACATCAGAGCAACAATTGCTCTTTATTCCTCCTGGTATAACACAAGGCTGTTACAACATGCACATAAGCAAAGAGTGAACATGTCCACAAGTGATGAATTTGCAATTTGCCCCATGCTGGGAGAGAACCAAGTTACATTTTGTTACTGCCACAAGAACTGGAGACATTTCCTATTCGTGTATTACATATTAACACATACTTAAGTTGCTTAGTGACCAATACAGACATCTCTAAGATTTCAGTTGATTTCAAGTGTATTTCTTTGGGAGGTTTACTTCTATTTGTAAATATGTGAAATCTTGATTTATTTTTTTGTGTATTTTCTCAAGTGTTTAAAAAAATGGCAGAGTATATTTTGATTCGGACATGCCTGCATTCCTGTCTTGATTTTTTTCTTGTACATTTTAGCTTTAGTCTAACGAATAAATATTTAATGCAATATGTTTGGTTGGTGATTTACTGGAATTGATTTATTGGAGTTTCAGGATTTTTGCAAAAAATGCTTGTGAAAACGTTTTTGTTGTCTTTGCTTTCTGTCTGAAGACATTGCAGGGAATTCCAGCTGAAAACATAGCCTCTGCAATTTGCCTAAAACGTGGGAGTTTTATTTTACGAAGAAGAAACAATTCCAAAGTGCTTGTTATTTTCATTTTTCATTTCTCTTCCTATTCAAGTACAGCTTGATGTGATAATCAACTTCAAAGAAGAAATGAACCACTTGATAAGTGTTCCAATATATGAGTATAGCTTATGAATTTTATATTTATATAAATGTGTGTGCATATATACATTTTGTCTTAGATCTGTATAGACATAGTCTAGTGCTTGGTTTACTGAATAGTTTTGAATTTAGCAAAATGGCTGTGTTTGATTGCAAATCAATATTTTCAATGCTGTAATTATCAATGAGACAGAAACTTGTTCCAGTTTAAAAAAAAAAAAAGAACTTTGCAGTACAACATTAAAATTGATTAACTTAAATCAAAGAATCATTATTAATACTTGTAATTCAAATAATTGTACTTTCAAAACAGTCCATGCTGCTTTCAGAGGGCTGTAACGGTCTGTCCTGGGCGGATGGGAGCGGTTCCGTATCCCTGTTGCAATAGCAGAATTTTGCCTCAGTTGGCAAGGGCTGTGCTTGTCGTTTGGCAGAAAGTTGGGTGATGCCTGCTTGCAGCCTTTCTGAGAGGAGCTCCTGAGCACTGTAGGTGTATATTTTTATAGTGTTTCAGGGGCTAAGCCAGCTGGAAGGGGTGGTACAAATGGAAGGTTTCATTTCTGTCGTTCTTTAGAAGCTGAGCAAAAAAAAAAGGGCAATTAGTGAGAAGCGTGTACAGCTGGGAGATGAGTAAAGTCAAATAAATTGGTGTAGATTTCCTTCTCCAGGGAATGAAGAGCATAAAAGCCCGATGGTAAGTCTTCGTGTGAGTGTGTTAGTGCACGGCCAGCCAGCCCTGCTGCCCCCAAACCTGCACCCCAGCAGCACGCGGTGCCGTTGCACCCCGCTTTCTGCATTTATGACATTGCAGGAGCGTGTCTGCCAGGCACGCGGTACAGGGCAGGGTGCTGCCTGCCACAGGGCTAGGGTGTGTGCATGGATGCAGACCATCAAAGCAGGGGTGAAAGCTGTGGGAGACAGGTTAAGGTTATTCATTAGAGAGGGACTTTATTTTGTGGCCGCACTTTGGGAGCAGGGGAAGCAGGAGTGTGGTTTTTCTGCAGCAGAGTAAGACACAGGCAATGTGACTGAGCTGAGAGGTTGAGGAATGTGAACAAAATGGGTAAGTGTTGATTTTATAGTGGGGCTAATTTGGTCATTGTGTAGGAGTGCCTTGTTGTTAATGATGGCTGATAGCATTATCATGCCACTACCACCTCCCAGCATACTGTAAATTTTCTGGACATGGGGCAGGGGTGGCGACATGAAAGGTTTGTGGGGTTTTCTCACCCTTTCTAATCTCTGGAGGGAATGAGGCTGTGCCCCTCAGGGCTTTGCGTGTGAGAGGCTGTGTCGTAAGGTGGCATTAGGGATGCTGATCTCCTGCTGCTATAGGGCTGGAACAGCCCTACATGCCTCCCCATCCTTAGACTTCTACCCCAGAACTTACACACATATCAGCAACTAATTTTGTGACACATTTTGTGACACTTTCTTTTTTTTTTTTTTCTGTTTTTTCCCAAGCATCCTATTTGCGGATATTGAGGGTTTCACAAGTCTGGCCTCCCAGTGCACTGCTCAGGAGCTGGTCATGACGCTGAACGAGCTCTTTGCCAGATTTGATAAGCTAGCAGCTGTAAGTTTTCTGTTATAATTATTTTTTCTTTCTTTCTTTCTTTTTTTTTTTTTTTTCTGTTGCAAGAATGCCATACTGTGCTGGTCCAGTGGATTTCTGTAAATATTCACTGCCCTAAAAGGCAAGCTATTGCAAGCATGAATATAAGCTGAATACGTCTCTCTCCTTTATTTTTTTTTTAATTTTTTTTTAGGAGAACCACTGTTTACGTATCAAGATCCTGGGTGATTGCTATTACTGTGTGTCTGGTCTGCCAGAAGCAAGAGCTGACCATGCACACTGCTGTGTTGAAATGGGCATGGATATGATAGAGGCCATCTCGTAAGTACTGTATCCCCCATGGAGAATTTCATAACAAATAGCAAGTAGATTCTCTTTCCTGTTACGTTTTCTTTGCATTAGTAGCAAGGTAGCCAAACCAGGGAACTGATGCCAGCAAAAAGGGAGACCAGCTGGAACAAGAAAACAAAATGCAGTAAAGGTTTGACAGCAGAAAAACAGACACTTGAGTCCATTACAGCCACGTGGATATCAGAGAGCTATCTCCTGATGAGAAAGGCAAAGGTTACTGTAATTACTGGAAGTCTCATTCCCAAAGGAGGATTCCGGTGAATTACAGAAATGTGAAATCAGAGGATTAATAATAACTTTATTAAATTTCAGTCACTCTTCACTTAACTGTCTTTAAACCAACTTTTTACTCACCTTGCAATTCCTCTGCTAAGGTCTGTCTTATCTAGTGTAACTAGTCCTTCTCCATGTGTCCCTATGCCAAAAAGGTCAGATTCAAGACTTTCTTACTTTAGTTAAATAAATATAATAATATTGAATATTGTTTGCATCCAGCATGAGCTTTCACAGGCCAATTCTTTCAGAATTCAGGGAGGGAAGATTTATTTGGTCATCTTGAGTGTATGCATGCTTAGGCACTAAGTTCAGTCAGTTTTAGGTGGTAGCTGAGCTGACAGTGATATCTATACCATCCCTGCTGTGTAGAGACTCTGATTCTTTTTCCCTTCTAGTTTTTTATTTTCTGAAAGCATCTTCTAAAGTATCAATGGTACCAACAGAGAAGTAGAAGATCTCTATGCAGTTCTCCTCTCATTCTGTTCAGTAACTTGATGGAGTAACTTCAGTAACTTCATCTTGGTAGAAACTAGAGCTACCTGTTTCCTGAGCTGGATGCAGTACATCCTTACCATTTGAATTTCTGCAAGGACATGAATACACACCCACACTTTTAAGCCTCGTTTTCATAGCACAGATAAGAAGTTTGAAAAGCAATGTTTTCACCCAGGAGACCCCATTCAAAGAGCAGCATGCAACAGCATTCCCTTGGTTTCTATACAGTGTACATTGTTCGGACTTCCTCCCTTTACTTTCCTGGTTTTAAACTCTTGCTTTGCAGCAGTCTCCTTTTGGGATTTGTATGCAAAACACAAAATAAAAGGAGTTGCAAGTAACTAGTTTTCAGTAGCCTTTGAAAGGATGCTATTTCTACCATATGAAGGACAATTAAGTGGCAGGTGACAAAGTATCTTGTCAAACATGAGAAGCAGCAATTCTTAGCCACCAGCTCTACAAAGAAGATACTGTGTACATTGCCCAGAAAAGTCTGACCTTCTGCAGTAGTTGGCCTGATGAGATGCAGAGACCTTGACACCATGCTGTGTAATCCCCCACAAGGCTGAGTAACACCAGGATCTCTAGACTTCATTGATTAACTGCAGCCCACCTTACCTTGAAATAAACATGGAGCTGAAGTGCACTCAGTGTTGGTTTACAAATAGCTCTTCAGCAGCCTTTACAACTTGTTTCCCACTTGATATATGATGAATGCATTTAACAGTCTTATCTCTTAAGTCTGGAAGGTGACTCTGTTCTCACTACCCCTGCTTCCCCCACCCCCTCAAGGATCAAGATAAGAGGTTTCACAATTAAGGTAACCAATAGCTGCTGAACATTTGATTGCAGGCTTCACCAACACTGGGCCCTGCCCGTAGGCTGATTTCATCTGTACACAATAACAGCCAAGGAGTGTTATCCCAGATCAGAAAGATAGAATTATATTCACTGTTCTGCTGGTATAAATGAACTAAAAAAAAAAAAAAAAAAAAAAAAGGAAGGTAACAAAGGGTATTTAGTTGGTCTATAAAGGCAAAGTCTGGAGAAAGTCACCTTCTCATCAACAGCCCTTCTGGGAGAAGTTCCCTGGTCTTGTGTCAGTACGGTGGCTTGGCAGAGGGTACAGTAGGGCTTGTAGCACTCGTGCAGCTTGTTCTTCTGCCCTCCCCAGTGCTGTACCCACACTGCAGCTGCTGTTATCCTTGCAAGGGTTATGGCTACAGCTACATTTTCATTACCCCAGTTCCTGTTGTTTTCCCAAGTAGTGCGGTTGGAGCTCTTTCAGTTCGTAAGCCTGTGGCACCTTACCAATATGCAGCTTCCCTTCCCTACTAGAGAATATCTGCTGTGTGCTAATAAAAATAATGAACATCACTTCAGCGAGTAGATAATGAAATGTAAGATAGGGATTGTAAGAAAAAAGGAACTATAAGAGGGTAGGAGCTATTTCAACAAGAGGTCATCTTGAACAGTCTTTTAAGGGGCATATTACACTGTTAGGAGTGAACTAGAGCCCAGAATTGGTCTATCTTTAATCATTCATTTTAATTAATAACTAAAGCATAAATATTAGATCTGTATTGGTGTTGGGAAGTTGGGATGACATACTTGTCCAGAGGATGTTATCTGGAAAGGACTAGATGAACCTGAAAATCAAAGAGGTCAAAATCTGATAGGTATAAACTACGACTTCATGCTTCGAGGAACTAACAACTCAAAGGAAAGGACTGTGCTATGTGATGTAGGTGAATTTGCCTGCTAAGCACGGACATTCTGGGAATGATGTGATCAGCAATAACAAGAAGCAGAGTTGTTCTGATGGCCTTATCAAGACTTTCCCCTACCCACATTCCTAAATATATTTTCCATGTGAACAGCTCTTGAAGTTAACTTTTGCCCTAAAAGGGCAAAACCCACAAAGTATTCCAGCAGTCATTTTGGGAGTAAGCAAAACCTCATTAAAATCAGAGCTCGAGTATTTGTAGCTGCCTGTTTGGAGTGACTGCAATAGATGTGGTTCTCTGGTTTTGCTGCTCTGACTGCAGCTGTAAGCCCTGCTCAAGCTTTCCAACTGCAGTGGGGTGTTTCACACACATATCGTATTTCATCTGTGGAAGAGTTGTATGCTTGGTGCCATACAGACAAATTAAGATCTCTGAAATCATTTCCTTTTTCTCTTTGCAACATGCTATTACTCTTAATGAGCCTGAGTGCTGGCAGTTTATGTCCAGCTTTGGTATGGAAATCAGAGACCAGCTCTTTATTCCTTTTACTGCCCCAAAGATTTTTTTTTTTATGAGTTCTCAACTTGACCATGAGTTCAGAGTACAGAGATTTACTCCAAGGGCTCCCCTTTCTACATGGATTTACTCCAAGGGCTCCCCTTTCTAATTAGTACTCTGCTTGGCCAGCCAGGCCATCCAAGAGCAGAACAGCTGGTCTGGTTTTGGTTTGTTGTCCTGTTGATATGGGTGAGCAGCACTGTGTGTATGCATGACTAATTTATGGGTCATTATGGATTTTTGTGCTCTGGGTGCAAGTTTGTGCCACCGACTACAACCATGCAGTTCTTAGTGATGTCCTTTTTTTCCCATATCTCTTTTCAGATTAGTCCGGGAGGTGACAGGAGTAAATGTCAACATGAGGGTTGGTATCCACAGTGGAAGAGTTCATTGTGGGGTCTTGGGCCTTAGGAAGTGGCAATTTGATGTGTGGTCCAACGACGTTACGCTAGCCAACCACATGGAAGCAGGGGGCAAAGCTGGGTAAGTTGCTCCATCAAAGGCATCGTGTTAATCTGTGTGTTGTTTTATGCCTGATGTATCACAGTGAGGTGGGGAAATGGGGGACAGAAGTTCAGAGGGTCTGTATGTCTGCTGTAAAATGAACCGTGGGTGTAATGTTTCAAGCATATACAAATGTTAGCAAGGTTATTCTGTTCTGTGTCTACATGTCTTTGGTTATAGAAGGTCTACAAAATCCCAAGATAGGCCTATCCTTCTGTGGTAAGAACAGAATTCCTTCTCTGCGAAACAACTGGTAGATACAACAGGAATAAGCAGGTCTGTGCAAACACTAGCAGACCTGGTCATGGTTACAAAGAGATGTGACCGTATGTTAACTGTGTTTGCTGGAGAGCATCCCAGCTATCGATGGATATTGTATGAAGCATTGTTTCAGGCCAGCCCTTTGTTTTGAAACATTCATGTGAGAGAGCAGAATCGGTTCTTGTTTCACTGCTGTATGGACCAACTGAAGACTGAGTTGACTCCACGAGATAATTTTTCTATATGCCTTTCCATCTTTGCTCTGGAAGAAAGCATAAGACTATATGGTACTCGATAGAATATGTCTACAAGGCACTCTTGTACCACCGTGATTAATGTGATACAACGAAAAAGATACATGCTACAGGATTTATTACATGTGACCGCTAAGTAGACATGCCCTTGTGAAGGGCCTGTATTTGCCAAAAAATAGATCTGCTGTGTGTTAGAACAAAGTGAATAAGAGAATAAGTGCTTTATATCTAAGGAGGTGCTTATAAATGGATGTGTAAGGTGCTTCATGTGAACACCTCTCTCTTTAAGAAGACACCGCCTGGCCCGGTTCCTTTAAAACAGATTAAACTCCTGTACTTCATCTGCAAGAGTAGTGGCATGGCTAAATAAACTGGGGTTTATTGCTTGTTTGTTCCAGTACATGGAATCTGTCAGAACAGGAACTGGCTTTTCAGGTGAGCTTAGAAAACTGGCTTGTCTTTTGTCTCATTCAAGGCGCATCCACATAACAAAAGCAACCCTGAACTATCTCAATGGAGACTATGAGGTGGAGCTGGGCTTTGGAGGGGAACGCAACGCTTATCTGAAAGAGCACAGTATTGAGACCTTCTTGATTGTACGGTGCAGTCAGAAACGGGTAAGACCAAACAAACCAGTGTACATTCAGATACTTTTAAGAACTAGATGGTCTCTAACATACCAATGTAGAGTGAAGATCAGACTTTATAGATGAGTTGACTAGCTGACCTTCAGTGACAAAAATTCCTGTTTCTCTCTCCCCTTCCTGAACTTTTGCATGCATAGAAGGGAGTGTAGTCACCTTCTGCATAAGGTTTCTGCACCAAGTACTTTCTAGTTCTATCAAAGAAACTGTCCTGAGTTGTTTTCAAAATAATTTTGAGGAATGTTGTTAATATAGATATGTAATTTTTGCAATTAAATTTGATGCTTGTACAAGTTCATAAAGAATAGATTAAAACCACAAAGATTTCTTCTCTGTCAGATTACAGACAGAGGTGGTTTTGTCCACCTGCTGACCATATTGCCATGAACATAAAGATTAGAGCCATTCTTACTACTTTTCAGCCTCTGTTTCTGAAGACAGGAAAATCTGGCCCACTGTAATGGTGGATGATCACTGTGACAGTGGGATGAGAGCATACCTACTGCTATGACATGGGTCAGCCTGCACAAAATAAGGCTATTAGGGCATTACTGACTTGAACTAGAGTCAGGTCAAACTTAAGTGGACTTCAGCCAGTATATCTTCTTTTTGTGACACTGCGAATAACAGAAAATAGGTTTATGTTATCACTTGTTTGTATTCTTTTAAATAATAGTAGACTGTAATTCCAGAAAAGGATCTTTTTGGTCATGTAATTGAGCCTAGCGAATATTTCTCTAAGTAATTTCTGCACTATAGACACTAGTTTGCTATTCAAAGTAAGGGCAAGCATATAAAGATTGGCCTGAACTGAAAATAATTTAAAATATTTCTGAATCTAAGACCAATTAAACCTTCCCACAGCTGTAAATATGACTACCATGAGATTAAATGAATTAGCATTTGTGACATATTCCAATATCATGGTTGATTTGAGTAACTATAACATCTATACAGAAATACTTTGCTACCATTTCTCATTTCCTGAGAGAATGGAAGCCTCAAATCTCCTTAATGGATATTGTGTAAAAAATCTCCAAGAAAATCCCTTATCATCTGCTAAAGAGAGAAGCTGATGTTTTGGTTTCTATCTACTCGTAAGATAAATCTTATTAACAATTGTCAATCTTCAAAAGAGGATTAGAGCTTGCAGTGCAAGATTATTGTTTCCTGAGCATCACTGCCTGTCACTGGGCCAGCTGATGTTTATACTTAAACCACTTCTTTGCTGGGTAGATTTAAGAACATAAACCAAATACCCTTATGGTCAGGCCCTGTCTCCTGGGATGGAGAAGCTGTATTGACTTCTTAAATTGTGCACTCACCAAGTTGCCTCATCTTCTTGTGGAGAACTGAAGGTTTCTCTGGAGACAAGAAGAAGACCTAAGATCAGGATTCTGCTCCTCGCTGGTGTAGACGAAAACCTCAAAAACCAGAGACATGGAGCACTTGGGACTTCACTTCATTTTTGAACACAAGGCTTTCCTTTGACTGTGAGACTGGACAGAGACACATGAGAGATGTGGATTCCATTCCAGACTTAGATTTTTAGGAACTTGTATATTTCAGCCTTGATTTTCCATGGTAAAATGAAATGTGGTTCCCCCCGCCCCAATTCTTTCACTGCTTTATACGTATTTACTGCAGCTCTGTTACACAGAGTGCCCCTTGGCTGAAGTCTCTAGGTACTACTATAATGCAGCTCTAACATGCTGTATCCCAGAGCAGTTAAGAATTGTGACATGTGCATGGCCTATGTAATTATTGTGCTAAATTGAAACAAAGAAACTGCTACCCAAAGTTGTGGACATTGGTGTTGAGAGTTTGAGGGGCTCCTGGTTTGCCCATACTGCTGCAATTTTTTTGCTCCCATAGCCGTTTTCTGTCCCTTTGTGAATAGTTTAAAGTTCCCTCCCTCTTTAAAAAATCATTTTCACATAATACGAAGATCAGAAGTGAGAAAAGCTTTCTTCTGTAGTCAGCTCCGTCAGTCTTGGATATTGATGCTAGGCAAAGTTCTAGCGTTTCACTTTTTCCTTCCATTTCTGCTTGATTTTAATGACTTGTTGTGGTGTATTTAGCCAGGCTTTCAGTTCATTCTGTTCCAGTAATGGCCATAAAATGTTCACCTAACTTAGTAATGGGTTCCTGTGAGTCGTGTCTGAGTTCCTGCACAGACACAGCACACACAAGGCACAGGATTTTCATTGACTGGAGAGCAGACGCACCGTTGACCCAAGTAACTGCTTGCCTGAGCTATTCCTCAGTTCACACAGGCAGACTTGAATTATCTGAATAGCTGGTCCGTCAGTCCCACCCAACAATACCAGGAGGTACGATGAATGTATAAAATGTAACTGCATCTCTTCCAAACCCTTAATGCTTAATGTTGCCGTGGGGAGCTGTAACTTTGAATTTCCTGTCTTTTTGTTTGTTTGTTTATTTGGCTTTTTCATCATGTTAATGCCATTTCTTTGGCACAGAGTAAATGGGAGGAACGTTTACCTAATATTTTTGTTCCAGGAACTCAGACTAGCTCCTTCTTTGAATTTTTTTTTTTTTTTTTTCCTTTTTAAGGATGCTCTTAACTGGAATATATTTAGTTGAGTTTTAGGGGGAAAAAAGCTAGATTCTGATCCCTCAGTCTTTAAATAACATCCCTAGAGCTGAAAATATAGTCCTTGTTTTTTATCTCGTACACAGAAGAGTTGCTTTCTATTGAAAGAGAATAACTGCAAAGTTTTAAAATCTAGTCTGTTTAGGTTTCTCTCTCCACATCTTTACCTCCAGATTTGCTTTCACCTTTCTGTTTGCCCTGTCCTGTGACTCTGCTGCTCTTGTGGTGAGCCCTTGCCTGTGAAGGCGGTGCTCAGATACCCCAGAGCAGTGCAGGAGTGACTTTATTACTGCAGTGTTACGTTCCTCTAGAAAAAAGTTTTCGTGGGTTTTTTTGAAAGCATAGATCCAAAAAATTTGTTTTCCTTGTGCTTGCTTTCAATTCCTTAAGCTAGGGTTTTGATCATTAAAATATGAATCAGTCTTAACTGTGTGAGATACAAAGGGTGCCATGCATTTCATTGTAATGTGAACCCCTGTATATACACACATATACATATATATAAGTGTGTATGTATATATCTATAAAGTAATTCTTGTCATAAAATTAGCAGGCTCCACTACAAAGGTCTGTTGAATCTTTTGCTGTGGTTTGTTTGCTACCATTAGTGCTAACAGTGGGCTGCTCTAAAACCTGGTTGCTCTGGTGGTCTGGTGTCTGCTGCCAGACATCGATTGTATCCCCTCTCCCTCTCAGCCTTTTTTCTCCTAAGGCAAACTCTTCTAAAGTCTTCTCACAATGAAGAAGAGACAAGCACAAGCTCTCATGGCAAGCTCTTCATTTTTGTGATCATCAGAGGAAACCTTTAGGTTTTGCATAGTTGCATTATCTTGATATCTGATATTTATTCTGTGATGAGCTAATGTGATTCCTGATAATGAAGTGAAGTTTCTGACTGTAATCTCTAAGTGAATGAGCATGCAGTTTGTACACTTGAATGTCTCAGGTCCCATTTCTACTATGTCACTCCTCAAATGTCAGGTGCTAGTATTCCTTTCTGTCTTATCTATCAAATACGACCTCTGCTTTTCTCATTAGCAAAGTCTGTCATTGCTACACCTGGTGTCAGATGTGATAAGAAAAAAATTAAACAAAATCTGCCCCAAGACAAATCATTGAGTAACTCTAATAGTAACTTTCATTCGGCCTAATACTTCCTCATTCAAAACCATCTTTTGCCATTTGACTGGAAACCAGCTCTTTGCCCAGCTTTGTATTCCACATCTGTCTTAGCCATTAGTCTCCAGCACAGCCCTCTGTCAAATGCTCTATGGAAAGAGCAAGGCCAGTGAGAGCTACTGTATTTTTTCTGTTTGGAAAAACTTGGATACTCTCAAGGCTGTTCATCCAAGCCCAGCATTTGCTGCTCTACAAGTTCTGTGTCATGATCCCTGACTAAATAGTTACTAAAAGTATCTGTTAACCAGAGCTGAGATTGCAGTTGGCAGTTTTGCACGGATCTGGGATAGAGGTTGTCCTTCTGACTTCAGCGCATCACACTTAAGTTTTGCTTCCAGCTTAGTCATGTTTTCCTTTTATAACCCTGTGCTTATGATCTCTCTTTACGTTTGCCTTTACTGTGGCAGTAGTGATTATCTGAAGAGAAGTAGTCTGTTCCTTCAGTTCTAGAGTAATGGAGATATTTAAGTTTCTGTTATCCTCGCGTGATATAGGGTGACTTCTGTCCTCATTTACTATTTTTCTTATTCATTTGGATATGTGTTTCTAATGGACTTAATAACTTAGCGTGAAAGAAATGCAAGAATTCTCCAAGGAGATTTTTGCCTTTCCTCCATTACTGTCTTTGCATCTTCATTCTTTATCTGAAAGTCAGTGTTTCCAGATAAACAGCGAATTATCAGCTAGAATTACTGATACTTTTACCGAGATCTTTAGTGATTCCCAAACTTAACCCCGAGGCATTGTAGTGAATTACCCAGCGTTACTCAGTACAATGTCTTTTTCCTTCTGCAGAGTGGTTTTGTTTTATTACACTTCTTTTTTAAGTTTACCCTGCAGACTGTAGCATTCCTAACACACAGCTCTGTACCTTCACCTCCACAACTTTTATATCTGTCCTTCTGCAGTTTATTCAGTCGTTACTGCTATCCTATTGCATCTCAGCTATTCTTACAGTACTCAGCCTAATTATTGTGGTATCCAGTAGTCCCAGTTCTTGAGCTGCCCAAGTTTCTGGAGTTTGTACAGAAGCATGTCACTTGGTAGTTGTTGGCAACTTTCTGCTCTTCTTTAAGATCAGGTGCTGCACTAATTTGCAGAACTGTCACAACTACTCCTCTCATCACTTCTAATCATTAATAAAGCTTTACTCTGAGAAGGGTGGAAAAGTACGTGTTTGGAGGGGTGGGAAACAGACCTCAAGGTGAACAGGATTTTAACAGCACATCAGGTTTACAGCTAGTTTTATTGTCCTCAATGTTGTGAGAAGCCTGGGGAAGTGCTTCGCTTTGAACACAGGAGGCTGTCAACAGATGAGCAATACTGCTGACTAAACATACCGTGCTGAGTGCACAAAGTTGGCAAACTGAAAAAATGTTTCTTTTTTTCTAATGTCTTTCAATTGCAGTAAACATGGGTGTTTCTTTCAACAATAGCAGGTCCACAACTATTTCAGAAAGGATTGTTGATGGTGGCCTTAAAACAGCTCAACAAAACTTTGGCTGAAACTCCTAGAAAAGCAATTCTCATTCTTTTCTAAATAGTGTCCTGGAACTCCATCCAGCTGAAGAAACAAAATGGTCCTTTAAATGTTGTGCATGTGACTCTCCTAAAACACAATCAATCTAATGTGATGATGCCTCAATTTAACAAATCTAATCACAGCTCGGCAGGGTTCCACTGATGTAGATTTATGAAGACAATGGTTTGGAGTATGTAGTGTTGCAAGAAATATTATTCACATGTCAATAAGACTTCAAGAAAAATTAAAGAATGATATGTAGCTGAATTTGAAATGGCTGATCCATGCTCAGATTTCACTGCTTTGTTGCACTGATAGTGATCAATATGTTGGAAAATCCTACCACACACTAAAGAATTAACAGGCATTCTTGATGCAATTGATAAGTATAAGAAAATCCCAGCTATTTCTGCAGTTTTGCTATAGCATTACTGTAGCTCAGTGTGTGGGAACTGGTGGTGGGAACACAATAAAACCTCTGGGAATAAGATTTACAGTCTCTTTGCGAGTCCGAATTTGAAAAGTTCCCACAACAGCTTTCTGGAGTTTAGCCACTGTAAATCTGAAAAACTCATTGCTGTCAGAAACTTTTGCACCTGCTCCCGTTGTTGGTAGTACCTGTAATGAGTAGGACTGGAAGGTATCATCTCTTCCTTTTCTTTATTCTTCTTTCCAGTCATGTTATGCCTTAGGTAGCCCTGTGTGCAAGTTGTCCTCATGCTGTCAATTAGCCAGGAAGAGACAGAGGGGAGATCCACATTACAGACTGTGCTGCTGTATTGTTTTGAACAACAGGACTTTGTTGTTAACATCCGTACTTATTCAAAAACATTTTTTAAAAATCTGATCTTTTGAAAAGTTGAGCTAATTTATTTTCTGAAAAATCACTTGTTCAGTGGGTGATGATAACAACAAACTCTAAAAATGAAGAATTAGAAGGATCACGGTTCCTTCACCAAAAATCCACTCGGCTTGTATATGTGTTTTAATCTGATCGGAAACATTGCTGAAACATAGTTCACAATCCAGTGGAAACCTTTTACAGGGGGAGAGATGAAATACTGCCAAGAGTTCATGTAGCCATGGAAAATTTATGGTGCCTGACCTCATGGTTAGAAACAATCTCAGAAGTATATATTTACCCATTTGTCCCGCCCTTACCTCAACCCAGATGTGGCAATAAACATGTATGAGGTCTTTTATTCCCTTCAAATTAATCAGGTGATGCTTCAGGGTCACCAGCACTAGCTGCAAGTGGAAGGATCACTCACTGGCTGAGAGGGATAGTACATCTGCTTGGATTTTTGGTGCTAAGGCTTTTCTCAAATTCTAATCAAATTTACTAACTCATGGGGGGAAACCTGCTGTGTGTATCTTCTGTTATCTTTTGATGCAAAGGTGTTTGTAATGTAACTAAATAACTTTGCTTTTATAGGTCCCCAGACTAGTTTCAGTGTCTGGGTTTTTTGGTTGCTTTTGGTTGAAAACCCTTCACTAAGTTGTAATAAAAAGTAGTGACAGTGTCACTAGTATTGTTGAAAACAATATATATTGCTTGGAGGTAATGAAACTGTATTTCCTACCAGTTTTCTGGCATCATAGAAGAAAGAAGCATAACTATGAAAAAGATTGCATAACTGAAAAAACACAAGGAAGTGCCACAAATGGTGGCAGAGACCATAAAGAGCAGTAACTTTTAAAACACAAAACCTCAAACCAACTCAAATCTAGACATCAGCATTGCATCACGTTACCGTATTTTTAGAAACATTTAAAACGCAGCTCTCCTGGAGGTTGTCCAGTGGCTCCGTCATGATTGCTCATGTGAAATTCAGCTGGTGCCAAGTGATGGAGTTTTCAGCTTTTGCAGATGAAACAGTGGTGGGTTCCATGCGGGGCAGAGGCGGTGTGGGAGGCACTTGCTGTCCTCGGGGCGCACAGTGTGGGAGTACGTACAAACATCCCGGGGAGCTGACAGCTCACTTAGGTTTGCTCCCACTGAGTTTCCTTGAGACCCTACGCTTGTCATCCTGTCTGGGTAAAAAAAGATCTTTGCTGGCAGCCTGGGGCCGCAGTGACCACTGCTGCTTGCTGCCACGGGGCCAGCCGGGTGTCCAGCACAGGGCTCCTGTCGCAAGCGGCCCTGTGACCCCAGCTAGTGGCCATGAAGCCTGCGGCACTACGTTCCCAGCAACGTTAGGTGCCTGCGTGGTGAGCTTGTGGTCTCATGGGAAATGTTGTCATCGTAGCTGTCTCTCCTTCGCGAGAAAAGAGATGATGATTTCCCATGCTTGTCAATCAGGCAGCTTTCCCCAGCACTGAATTTTAGCAGGCTTTTTCAAATTTCATAACACTTGACATTTAACTCTCTGTTATATATGGAAATAACATCAGGTATTTTGCAAACTCCTGACAGGTACAAGTTACAAGTGAATAGTGGGGAATCAAAATAAACAGGTAGGGAAAGCGGACTCCAGGCAAAAAAAAGATGCAGACCTACCTGTATTGTTGTACAACACTTGAACCAAAATACTAGAGTTTAAAACAACTGATGCTTTCTTTTTAAGTTGTTCAGTTGTCTGAACACTTTCTGAAATCCAATATTAACCATTATGTCTAATTTTTTCAGTAATCTCATGGAAGCAGCAATTCTCTTGAAAAAGTTTAACCTCTCAAATAATAAACAGCCAAGTTGTAGCTATTCCTGTTGTCCAAATTTTCAAGTTCTCCAGAGTTTGTCTCTTTTAAGCAAGGATGTGATAATTGCCACTTCTCTGCCTTCTGAGTCAGTACAGGTAGATCGCACCGTCCTCACTGAGTAAGTCTGCAGTGCAGAGAAGATTAAAGGGCTTGATCTTGTGCAATAAACTCCTGTCTTTCCGCAGAACACATTCACAGGAAAACCTGCCTGTCTTTTCGGCTAGAGAATATATTCAAAATAACGAACTAACCAGCCTGTTGTTAGCGCAGTCACATGCTGCACTTCTGTGCTCTTGTAACTGGCATTGAGCTTGAATGAAACCTTCCCGACAGATCCCGTGCAAACTTCGCAGTAAGCTCCAGTTACAACCAAGATTCAAAACCAGCTTTGATAACAAAACCAAAGACTTTGTCCAAACTTCAGGAAAGTTCATGTCAATGATAAAATTTGCAGCTAGCATTAGGATAGAGGAGACCATTTTGTCACACTTTGCAACACCATTACCCTTAACAGTTACACAGATAACTTGTTTGCATGATTTACATGCTTTCCTTAGCATGTCTGGGAAGATGCTCTTGCAAGTGTGAAAAATTATTTGCTTGTACCTACAGAGAAAGCTGTCCTTTATTCCCATAGCTTTAAGGAGCTTCAAGGCTCCTGTTCTTCAGCCAGATCACTCCGTGTGTTGTTTCTTTTGCCGACATACCAGTCTTTTTTTTTTTTTTTTAGGACCTTCCATGTGGTTTCTCAGCTTGGAACTGCAGTTTCCTATCTGAAATGAGTCAGTTCACTAAAAAATAAAATAGATGTCTCCATGCTCAGGTTATGGTGGTTATTTGAAACAAGCAGAGGAGTAAAATGGTGAGCACCACTTAGAGACAAGTGTTCTAAAAAATGAGAATAAAAAGAAATGGTAGACTGGGACTGCTTCTGATCACTGGCCACTTCATAAAGTTCATGGTGCGAAGCCAGCTTCTGGAGTGAGAGATCAGAAGTGAGAGAAATTTGGAGTATGACTCCCACATAAATGTTTCAAAACTTACTCTGCATTTCTCTCTCGTTTGTATTTCAGAAAGACGAGAAAGCCACAATAGCCAAGATGAACCGTCAGCGCGCTAATTCCATCAGCCATAACCCACCACACTGGGGTGTTGACCGTCCCTTTTATAACCACCTTGGAGCTCACCAGGTCTCCAAGGAGATGAAGAGAATGGTAAGGCCTTGCTTTATGGACATTCATTTATTTTCTTAATACAGCATCATGTATCCTTCCCTGCTTTGTCTAAAGGTTTTTGCAGCCCCGAGGGTGTTTTCCAAATGGGGGTGGTAAATTCCACTTTGACTCCAGAAATAATAATAATTGGTACATCTGGAGGTGAGTGATTGTGAGATGAGGCGCAAGGTTTTTTGAGAGGGGAAGGGAGGCTGAATGGCACAAAGAAGGCTCTTTTGTCTGACTTGTCCCGTGTTCTGAAAATTGATCCAGGCTGTGTGAGAAGACTTGATTATCTACAGAAATTGCTCAGTACCCCAAGCATTCAAACAGCAGCTGACATACGTTTGTACTAGATCATTACAGACCTCAGCACCTGCAAAGGTTTCTTGCTTGCATTTTAACAGCCAGATGCTGTTCACCTTCTATAAGCTACGTGCCCATGTAATGCTCATGGGTCCCCAGGAACCATTCCGCTGTGTTTAACTCTCGAGAATACATTCTTGAGTACATGGATTAATTGGCCTAAGGTAGCAGGCATCTTCAATTCTTGCTCACACCTTTCAGTCCTTGTAAATTAAAATGAACAAGAGCTAGTTACCAACGCAATTGGACTGAGAGCTTTTATGGCTTATTTTACATAAAGTTGTAGATGATATCTTTGTTTCCTGCAATAAAGATGCAGAAAAGAGAGTTTCTATTATAATGGCTGTTTGTAATAATAGTAATAAAAATATTTAGCACCTTTATAATTGCATGCATAATCAGATTGCTCTGTGATCTTATTAATGCTGTTTTGATCCTTTATGCGCAGTCAAAAGTGTGTATTTATTACCCGCTTTGTTACCCATAGTTAAAGTTCTGCTCCAGATCACCAAAGTCTTGAAGGAGTCAAAGAACTTTTTAACATGAAATTCACTCCCACAGCTTAAAAATTTTGGCATAGCTATAAGCAACCGCATATAGTGTCTTCTAATGGGAAACACTGGCACATTTATTAATAGTTGGTGCTAATATTATTCAATCATAATATTATTTTACAGTGCTAAACCAAATTTCTTAATCTCCATAATAATGTTTCTTTCATTTCTCAGATCTCCAAATGAGGGCTTCTGACATAAGCGTACAGATCCGTGGAACTGTGCATTTTTTATGTGGGCTTTTCAATAGGGTGCGCTCAATAGGCATGACATTATTAGAAGAGCCTAATCACACTAGCACATAATTATAATTATAAGTTTCTTTGAATAGCTTTTAAGGGGTTCTTGCAGCCTCCTGTTCAAAAACAAGGTGTAAGCATGCCAAATGGTATTATGCTTCTTGGTGTTAATTACAGTTTGCCGTGTCTAGCTGGTTGTTCAGTTGGAAAAACATAATTATTTATTGAAATATCAAGCTGAGTTCTAAAAACTTCACTGCCCCTCACTTGTAGGAGGAAAAGCTTCTCTTTTTTTTTTTCTTTTTTTTTTCTTTTCTCCTTATTTTGAACCTTTCCCTGTAATGGTATATACCTTTTTATAAATGCAGCAGCTCAGAAGATCTTTTCCACTCAATCTGCTTCTGTACTGCCTCTTGTATTAAGCTCTTTTTGAGAGGCTGATGTTGCATGTGTCAGGCTATTTCTTGAAATCCAATTTAGAGCTGATCCAGAGGTATTATTTTCAGCTAGACTTTTTTTTTGTTCCTGGGGACTATTTTTTAAAATCTGTTATTTACAGTATTTCCCACTGTTTTATGTTTGAGATGCATTAGTCAAAATGAAAACATGCTGCTCTTCATGGCCTAGAGACCATTTTAGTATCTGCTGGATGGACATTTTATTGATTAGATCACAGGAACAATTTCTCCATCTCCTGTCTCAATATATTTTCTCTGTGTTGACTTCTACTTTAAATATGCATTTCTTTGTACCAGCCAGCTTTGCACAGTACTTTATTTGTCTGTAATCTCTAACATTGTTTTACACGGATGCTGTGTGTGCTTAAATGCATGCACAGTGCCTGCTGGCTGAACACACAGGCACACTGTCTGCAAACTGCCTGCTTAGAAATACAAGATACAGACAGACAGAAGGGGAGCAGAACTACAAAGGCTTTTTTCAGTGCTCCTCTGGGATGACATGTCATTGATCTTGGTAAGCCGCACCAGCTTTCAAAGCTCCTGAAAACGTGCTCTTTATTCCACATCACCCACCTTTCCCCCAGACCTCTTGCATGTAATTATATGTAGCCTTTTTTCTTGGAAACTGTGAACGGGTAAGGTTGGATTAGTCAAAGCAATATGCCAAAGGCAGTCAGTGTGACACTGCCTTTCTCTTTAAAACCTGGAGCCTCTTAGCCCTATTATTTCAAAACAAGTGTTTGTAAGGCTAGTTGTGAGGTAGTCCTCAGGCAGGAGCCAGGTAATGTTGTAGTGATGTAGTTACATTATATTGATATTATATTGATATGCAGATATGAATACATTTGTGTGTAGGGAGTAATATTGATGGTTAAAAAGGACACAGTTTTTGTCACAAACTTAAAACATTTTGCATTATGAAGACAACTGTATTTCTAGATAAAAGAGAGACAGGTTTGGGTTTTTTTGTGGTGCTACTTAAAATTCCCTGAAAGAGAATATGAAAGTTCCCTGAATTGCATTTTTGGGAGGGTACTCTTATATTTAATAAAAACCAGAATTATTCTGGCCATTTTTCTTTCCTTTGAACGCCAGCTCTGGTAGCTGCCCCTATTCTTAGGGTATATTAGCAGTAGTCCTGGATGAGATGGATTAGTATCAAAGGTAGCCATATACTCCTTTTTGCCCCCCTGCTCCTCTTTTGTTGAGGCATTTCAGCACACCGCTGTGTCAGCAGTGGGGTTCATGTGGGAAGGCAGCCTGGCTGGCAGCATGGGGAGGTCTTTGGTCCCTGCTTCTGTCTGCATTGTGGCTTGGAGCTTAACCTCTGCTGGGTCCAGATGACTTTCTACGATGCTCCTAGACTAAGTTGTTCCCCTGAGCGCACAGGAGTTTATTCAGGCACTTGCACACACATATAAATAAGACAAAATATCCTACATGTGTTCATGCAGCAATAATCTAAAATGTCCTGGAAAACTGGAGTTATTTTCGTAGTCCTACCCTAGCTAACTGGGGCCTGAGTCAGTGGGACTGCAACTGTGCCGGCTCATCCCATCCTGCCCAACAGCCCCTCCATCTCCCTCATGCACTGGTCTTCTTTCCAGACCATCCCAAATCCTTCTTTTTCGCTTCCCATGGCTTAGCTGTGGCCTTTCTTGCCATGCAGAGCCTCCAGGGAGGCAGCGAGCAGGAGACACTGACGTTGCCTGTTGCTGACCCTGACTGCCATTAGCTGGTGGAGCCACTGCCTGGAGAAAGACGGTCCTGGGGACTGTGCTGAGTTGGGCTGCCAGGTCAGTGGCTGCCCCCCCAAAAAAATGGTAAATTTGCAGCAGAGGAAGATCAGATACAAATGACGTGGGAGAGCAAAGAGCCTTGCTCTGAGCTGGCAGCCTCTGCTGCGGCCTTGGCCCTGGGAGCCTGGGTTGCTGGACAGGGCGATGCTGCCGGTGTGGAGCGGGTGGAGGGCTGCTCGCTCGCCCTGGGCAGGCAGAGAAGCCTGGACAGGGTCAGCTTTGTCGCAGTATGCAGAGTATGAAAAGAGCCAGCGCATGGCAGAAGAGCAACACAGCTGCTTTCTGTTTTTATTGCTTTTTACAGCATGTTTTCTTGTTTCCTAAGCAAAAGCGGTCAGTCCAGCACCAGTGACTGTATCTCTCTGGAAACACAGAGTTTTGCACTGCTCCTGAGGTATGCAAAGGAGCAGCGTTCCCCCAAGTGTCCATACACCAGCCTTGTCTTCCCCACTGTCTCTCTGGTCCAGTTTTTTATTGCAAAAGAGTCAAAAATAAATGGACTTGAAAGCATTTGAGAGTACAGGTATATTTATAACTATAACAATATTTATACACCACTAAGAAATACTTTGCTTTTCCCAGTATAGATTTCAGAGTGCTTTTATAAATATTGATGGATTTCAGACTTCTGGAAATAATACTCATGTCTCAGTTTTCATCAGAAAAACAATACTATTAAAAAAAAACAATTTGGGAATTGTAGTTGACTGTAAACTGAAAGAGTTTTGTTGTAAACAGCAATAAAAATGCAATTGTTGATACCGTCCAAAATTACAGGGCTGTTCTAGATGACAAATGATTCTCTTGCATCTTTTACTCTGCTCTGCAATATAAAGTTGTAGCTGGAAAACCACATCCAGTTTGGATGTTTTTCCAGTACTTAAAGGCTGGCTACGAAAAAGATAGAGACTCCCTTTTTACGAAGAGTCACATGAAAAAGACAAGGGGTAATTGGTACAAGTTACTCCTGGGGAGGTTCTGATTGGACACAAGAGGTAGATTTTTCACAATGAGAACAATCAGCCATCAGAATATTCTCCCCCGGGGTGTGGTGGAGTCTCCAGCATTTTAAGATTCAGCTGGACAGGGTTCTGGACCGTCTTGTCTAGACCGTGCTTTTGCCAAGAAAGTTTGGACCAGATGATCCTTGAGGTCCCTTCCAACCTGGTATTCTGTGACTCTATGATTTTAAGGCTGCCATATGGCTATCATGTTTGTTTTACACTGACTGGTATGGCTGAGCAGCTTAGCTGGGTCCACTGATACATGCTTTGCAGAAGGTTTACTTCAGAAACAGGTACCTCTGAGTCCTTATAATCAAATGTGAGCAGAGTGGCTAACGTGATTACTGAGCCTGGTTGTAGATGCCTGGCAGATTTCCTTTTATTTTTTCAGCTGCTGGAAAGGTTTAACATTAGGAAGTTTAGGAACAGAAAGAGGAAACCCTGAAGATCTGCAGTACTGATTTCAGTCTGACCATGCTTCTGTTATGAGACTGAGTACAACTAATGAAGCATTTAATTTGCAACGGGATTGTGTATGATGTTGATGTTAGTTACAAAGAGAAAACCGAAATAAAAT